TACATATCCCTCAATATACTGATAGTGATACTGAATACCCTAGACGTAACATGGTACACGCGTTGTAGTTTTGCATTAGTTGGTGTCCGGGTTGTTCTCTCTGCTTATTTAGTTTAAACACATGGGACACAGCGGGATTGCCGGTTTAGCTTGGTATTGATTGATTATTTTTTAATTTAGCCAACTCCGAGCTCGTTAAAGAGTTTGCGAATGTGAAAAAGGGCAGGGTTCGCCTTCTCCAAATGCGCATAGTTGATGAGGAAATTAGCCTGATCAAGTCGGTCAAAGTGCACGGGAGCTGGGAGGATGACTTTGATGCCAACGTCAAGCCATTACAAGATGCCCATTTGGCTTCATACATTCTATACAGACTTGATTCCAAAAAACACGACGCTTATGAGTGGCTTCTCTTAACATGGATGCCCGAATCAGCTGACGTAATTTTCTTTAAAGCCGACATTTGGTTGTAGGTTCGCCAAAAGACGCTTTATTCATCTACAAGGGCTACTTTACGCCGACAATTTGGGGACGACTTTTTGGCAGACGACGTAGTTTGTCATGATGCGGTAAAGTCTTGCGATTTTCGCTCTTATCTATTAGTCTGACCTGAGTTTGGAGGGATACAAAAGGCACCTGGCCTCAAAGGCTGCTCCCGCACCGCTAACTGCAATGGAAGCCGAATATCAGTTAAACAGTGAGGCCGCTGTACGTTTTTTACATGGTCTTTCATAATTATCTTGGTTTCAGACGACACACAACTCTTTTGCTGATGTAAGCAGTAGCTTCGGTGGCATCGCTTTTCCTCTGACTTCGGAAGCAATTTCTGCGGTTGAAAAGTTTGCCCGCAAGAAGCTGGTATACCTTCAATTTGTAAGTGGTTTCCTTTATAAGCCAACTTTTATAACCTTATGCGTAATTTACCGATCCATTTGATGTAAGATTTTAGAATTTATGGAAATACGCTTTGGGTTGCTATTTGCATACGGTTTAGTGGGGCATCCAAAAATGTCCCATACTAATCAGTAGTTGCTGAGAAAACTTGAATTACATTTTCAAGTGGCGGTTCCATTCCAGCAGTGGTACTGCACAATTTACCGCCATTAGATACTTATAGAGTAAGAGGTTGAGGCACACTAACTCGATTGCGAAAGGCAACTATACAGATTCACGAAAGATTGCTGTGGCTACTTTTGTGCCACAACCTTTCTCATTCAGTCTGCATTTTAAGTCTTGAATTCTCTTTATGCCTGGGAACGCAAATTGTTAGTTACTGTCCTTAAAATAGCTTATTCCACCGGGTATTTGCTTTCATCCCATACTAAATTACCGGAGCAATTTAACTAAAAGATATGCGTATTGTGGATCGTGCATGAAATATGCACCAGTTTCATTTTTTATTCGCACAGAGCGTGTACATATATTCCTCTGAGTAAGAAATTTAGTTTAACACACTGAGTGCTAAAAGACGAAGATTTTAATTCTTTTAATAACTGCTATTTAACTAAAAATCGATCATGTGAAACGACAGTGGATACTTTCTTTCATATGCGATGTCATTAAGCAAAAAAGTACGACCGATTGCCCCGCATGATTTTTAAAAATTACTATAACTCTTACCAAATAAAGAATTAGAGTTCATATACCGAGTTATTACTTGGTGTTAGAATGTGCAAATTGTCTTCGATCCTGGTACTCAGTTTGACTGTGCGTAGTCCTCACTAGTACATGGATATTTAGTGGCTTTAAAAAATGTTGATCCAGTTTTGGTGTAATGAGAATCACGCAGATCGCATTCTGTTTCAGTTAATCACCTTACTTCTTGCGGTTTGGCTGCAATCCACGGTGTCACAATCATTTTACAGAAATCGACTAAATAAGTATCTTTTACTTTAAAACCGGTTGACGATAAGCTAGTGAAGGTACGGTTGAAGGTGAATTATAATTATGTATCCACCGTTTCTGTTTACGTGCCGGCATCATTCTTCGACTAGCACAACTAAGAAAATTGCTCGCTGCTGGCAGAAGTAAGCGAAGAAGTTTCTCGGCGTAAATTACTCATATTTGCATGTGACCAAAATGACGGAACAGCTTTATCTGCCACTGTTGAACGGGTTTTAGATGCATTAATGGTGAAAAACTACCGAGCCTAGCTTTCCGCAACCGAATACTTTCCATTGGCATGCTTCCAAGCTCACCACTAACTTACATTAGCTTGACATTTAAACGGTGCTCTTACTGCCAGTCAGATTGAGTCATTTCTAGTCGGCTGATTGTTCTGTAGTTGGTGGTTGCATTGGGTCGAAACTATCTGAGCCATATAATGCTGTCGTGCACACACACCTAAACGTTTCCCCGCATCGTCCATCCTCAAAATGTTTCTGACTAGGTGCCTTTGTATCTTCAAACGGACAGCTTAACATAGCCGAGGTTCTGGACACAGAAATTTGGTCTCGCACTAGAATCCTACCTGGGGGAGAACTCAGTTAAAAACGCACCAAAGGCCGCGATTCTCGAAACAAACCATTTTCGCCTTTATCGGATGACTACGAAGTATTATTAAGTTCAGTAAGAATTTCACAATTGTTTGTCCCGACACTTCGTGCTACATCCTCAAATAACGATTTAACTCACCAACTGTAGAAAATTTCCGCGAACTTAGTCAGAGATGACCGCGAAAACTATTAGACTGAAGCGCCGACCTCCCTGGAGCAGGCTTAAAACGCCTGTGGCAAACACAAGTTATCATATTGTTTGCAGGGTGGGTTTTGGGTCATCTGTGCTGGTCTTGTTTTCGTAATACGAACGGCGACTATTGCTGACAACGCAACCAAGATGTGTGCACCGTTTGTCAAGTTTACGGCCATCCCACCACCACCACCATTCCGCTACTCGTTACTACGGATCTTAATCCTTTTGCAGCCCGCGGAGAGTCGTGTACATGCCCTTTTTGGGAACAAATCACACCTGCAATACTGTGATCGTGTGACAACCCAGTGAGCAGGAGGGACGACATCCCTGCTAAAGTCAAATAGTGACAATCATGTATTCGCACTCTGTCTGACGGCAACTGATGAATACAGGGAGTAGGCTGTGTGTCGGCGGAGCTCGCCTTTATGATGTGGACCGGTTATCGCTCCACCACTACGCGAGTTCCAGTTCACGACAATCTCTCTTAACCCTTAGCCCTTCACCATTGAACCTCATTTTCGATAAGGTTAAATCCTGTCGTTCATCCTGTTGAACTACGTTCTTATCTAACTCTTTGCGGGAGATTTATGAGATTTTAATAGGGCTAAATTTCCATCCGAAGTGACTAAGTGTCCTCTCCTACTGTTGCGACATCATCCTCCAAGTCACAAGTTAGGATTGCTTAAAAAATATAGGCTGCGGAGTGAATGAAATCTTTAAGTCAGCCGCTTTATCAACATTCGTTGCAACAACTAAGGATTCTTCTACCTTCTTCTGCTCAGAAGAAGGTATATCTCCACACGTGGTGGTCATTGGCTTGAGAGAGCGCAGTTTTAAAATTAGGCGCTTGCCAAATAAACAGAACGATGACAACCTATTTGCTCTAATCGATGCCTTTCACAGTTTTTTATTTCACAAATCTCCTTATATGTATATGAACCTGTCAGGAGAGCTGTTCAATCCCTCGTCCCTGTAGCTGTAAATATTAGGCTGCTCGTTTAGAAGACGAGTGACAATGTAAAGCATTTGACTACCATTGCATGAGAACCATTTTTTCGGCATGATGCACCGCTTGGCTGCAACATCACCGAGGGCTTCTCAAACCACCAGAGAAGGACGACTGATGTGGTTTGAGTGCTTCACTCGTTTCGCGAGCACAGCTCTTTTGCTCTTCATCCGACGCCGATTCTTAGCGGAAAAAAAACACTGAGACTAACTTGAATCTGGAAGTCTTTGGCCACTAGAAGTCTTTGACCGCTACTGTCTGAGGAACATCCTTCGAGTGAAGTACACTG